GACAAGTCTGATGAAATTCTTATCTTTATTCTTCTGAATATAGTATGTCTTTTCTTATCTTACTGCTTTAAATATTTTCTTTTTACCTTTTGTTTTCAACAGTTTTAGTATAATGTATTTAGGTTATTTTGTGTGTGAGGAAAAGGGGTCATTTATCCTGATTGGGTTTTTCTGGACTTTTATGATCTGTGGTTTTCTGTCTTTAATTATTTTGAGAAAAATACTTAGATACTTTTTCTTCTGCTTCATTTTCTCTCGTCTCTTTCTGGTACTCAAATTACATGCATTAATGATAATTTGTTATTATCTTAGAACTCTTTGATGCTCCCTTAATATTACTTTGTGTTTTAATTTGGGGAATTTCTAGTGGTTGTTAGGTGCTATCGAGTCAGTTCTGACTCACAGCTATCCTATGCACAGTACAATTAAACACTGCCTGGTCCTGTACTATCCTCCTAATTGTTACATTTGAGCTTATTATGCCAGCCACTGTGTCAATCCATTTCATTGGGGGTTTTCCTCTTTTTCTATGACCCTCCTTCTTTACCAAGCATGATGTCCTTTTCCAGAAACTGGTTTCTCCTGAGAACATGCCTGAATTATGAGAGATGAAGACTCTCCAATCAGGCTTCTAAGGAGTATTCTGTCTGTACTTCTTCCAACACAGATGTGTTGTTCCTCTGGCAGTCCATAGTACTTTTAATATTCTTTTCCAATACCATTATTCAGATGCATCAATTATTCTGCAGTCTTCCTTATTCACATTCCTACTTTCACATGCATATGAAGCAATTGAAAAAAACCACGTCTTGGGTCAGATGCAACTTAGTCCTCAAACTGACATCTTGGCTCTTGAACACTTTAAAGCAGTCTTTTGCATCAGATTTGCTCACTGCAATACATCAATGTTGCTTCAATGAGTGGTGATAGTGGATCCAAGCAAAATTAAGTCTTTGACAACTTCAATCTTCATTTATCATGATGTTATTTATTAGCCCACTTGTGAGGATTTTTGTTCTTTACATTAAGGTGCAATCCATACTGAAGACAGTCTTTGATCTTCATGAGTAAATATTTTAAGTCCTCTTCACTGCCAATAAGCAAGGTTATATCATCTGCATATCATAGATTGTTAATGAGCTTTCCTCCAATCCTGATACCACCTTCTTTTTCATAAAATCCAGCTTCTCAAACTATTTGTTCAGCATACAGATTAAATGTTGTTGTTATTAAGTCCTGTTGAGTTGGTTCCGACTCAAAACTACTCTATATAAGGTTTCTGAGGAGCAGTTGGTGAGTTTGAACCTCTGTCCTTGCAGTTCAAACTGACCTTGTGGTCAATTGCTTATCCTGCAGTGCCATCCCAGGACTCCGTCAAACTGAATAAGTATGGTGAAAGGATGTAACCTTTTCACACACTTTTGATTTTAAACAGAACCCTTGTTCTGTTTTAATGATTGCCTCTTCGTCTATGTACAATTTCCTCATGAGCACACGTAAGTGTTCTGGAATATCCATTTTTTGCAATGTTATCCATAGTGTGTCATGAGAAAGCTTTTGTATAGTTAATAAAGTACAAGTAAACATTTTTCTGGTATTTTCTGCTTTCAGTCAAGATCCATATGATGCCAGCAATGATATACCTAGTTCCATGTCCTCTTCTGAATCCAGCTTGAATTTCTGGCAGTTTCCTGTCAATGTACTGTTGCAACTGTTTTTGAATTATCTTTAGCAAAAAATTTATTTGTGTGTGATATTGTTTTATGATTTCCACATTCCATTGGGTTACCTCTCTTTGAAACTGACAGAAATATAGATCTCTTCCAGTTGGTTGGCTAGGTAACTGTCTCCCAAATTTCTTTGCATAGATGAGTGAGCCACCTCCAGGTCTGCATCAGTTTGTAGAAAGATTTCAATTTGTGTTCTGTCAATTCCTGGAGACTTGTTTTTTTGCCATTGGTTTTTGATCATATGCTGACTCTTGAAATGGTTGAACACCAACCATTTCTTTTTGGTACAGTGACTGTGTATTCCTTCCATCTTCTTTTGATGCTTTCTAAATCATTCAATATTTTCCCCACAAACTTTTTCCATACTGCAAGTTAAGGTTTGAATTTTTTCTTTCAAGCTTGAGAAATGCTAAACGTATTCTTCCCTTTGGATTTTCTAACTCCAGGTCTTTGTACATTTTGTTACAATACTTGTCTTTGTCTTTTGAGCTGCCTTTTGAAATTTTGTTCTCAGGCCTTTTATTTCCTAATTTCTTTCGTTAGCTTTAGCAATTCCTATTTGTTATTGTTGTTACGTGCCATCAAGTCAGTTCTGACTCATAGTGACCCTGTATACGGTTTTCCAAGGCTTTATATCTTTGTGAGAGCAGAAAGACTTATCTTTCTTCACAGACCTTGTGGTTCTCAGCCCAGTGCTTCTCATATGGATTTCTATTTACCTATCTTCATCTCTCTTACTTTGGACACATTGTTAGGAGGGACCAGTTGCTGGAGAAGAATATCATGTTTGGTAAGGTGGAGGGTCAGAGAAAAAGAGGAAGACACTTAATGAGATGGATTGGCAAAATGGCAGCATCAATGGACTCAAGCATGGCAACTATTGTGAGATTGGCCCAGGACCGGGCAGTGTTTCATTCTGTTGTGCATAGGGTTGTTATGAGTTGGTACCAACTCAATGGCACCTGACAACAATTATCTTCAAATTTACTAATTCTTCCTTTAGCTGTGTCACATCTACTGATATGCCCATTGGGGGACTTTTGGGTTTGGGTCTTATTGTTATGTGGTTACCTTCAGTGTACCAAAGATTTTGAATACCTGTCGTGATGGACTACCATTGACTTATTTTCAGACTGGAAGCTGGGAAGCTCAGTGTTTATGTTTTCACCTGTCCCCACATGTCTGCTACATGTTAGTAATCTGTCTCCAAGGTTTTATGTTTTTTTCTCAGTGATAGACTGACGCAGCTTACTAAACTGTTTGTTAGACTAGTGTTAGGAGCCAGGAAGGATCTGTATTTTCATGGTCCAATCTCAGTCTTTGGCAAAACCTATGTGCTTTGAATGTGGAAATGAGACTCTCTCACACTTCCTGCCCCTCCTCCCGAACTTCAAAACTCTACTTTGTATTAGTGGTGGACCTTTCCTTCCTTTTTGCTGTTGTAAAAATCATTTCAGTATTATATTTTCTGGATTCAGTCCTGTATCTCACCCCTGCCTCAGGTGTGGAGGATTTTTCTCTATCCCCTTTTCAGCCACAAAGTGAGTCTCAAAGAAAAGGTGTGACATGGAATCTTCAGGCTTCTCCCCCACCGGAGGGCACCCTCCTCCCCCCCCCCCCCCCCACACACACCTGTTTCTGAGCCATTGGGAAGAATGCTCCCTGAGACAGTGCCTTAGATTTGTGGGTACTTTCAGAGGAGAACTTCAGACATATGAGACAAAAGAAACAGACAGATTACATGGGGGAAATCATGATTTATTGGACTGATGTGGGGATTTGGTTTCTTGCTGGAGTCAGAGAACTGTTTCTTGGAGCCAGGACTTCCCTGAGGGGATGTGCAGGATCAGGGAGGGATCCACATCATTCTGCCACAGCAGGAACTTATTGTCCCAGAGTTTAGGAGGATAGCTGATGGAAAACAGTGTGCTTTCATCTGTAGAACATGTAGAACATGGAGGAGAACAAAGGACCCATTTCAGGAGTAAACAAGTGAAGATCTGTCCATGCTAGGAATGGCTATCTGGAGGTACATGATCAGCAACAGGCAGGAGTGCTACAGGAGACAGGTCTGCAGATGAGGGTGGGACAGGAGGGCTGGCAGCAGCAAGAGGACTGGCATGAGGGGGGCACACACATGGTGGGCTTGCAGCTCACAGGCACATACACTGTGGGTTTGCAACTCAAGGGCACGCAGATGGTAGGCTTGCACACAAACCCAGCAGGCTTGCTGCTCACAGGCACACAGCAGGCTGGACCACAGGAGGAGGCCTGGCCACAGGCTGCAGGGCAGCACAGGGACTGGCAGCCACTAGGGCAACCGTTGGCAATCCCACAAAGTGACTGGCAGGAGGAGGCCACACCACACAAGGGCCTGCACAGCAGATTCATGCAGGACATTGGACGGCAACAGGAGTTCCCACAACAGGGGAGTGAACAGCAGGCACTGGGAACAGAGCTCAAGGGTCTAGAGCACATAGGCTTGGAGCAGACTGATTGGCAGTTGGAGGAACAGCTGGTATTGCACATGGTTGAAGTGTGTGACCGGCAGGGTTCAGGGAGTAGGCAGGGGCTGATCTGGATGCACCTTCTGCTGAGAGGCCTTTTATATCCTGTGCCCGTGGGTGTCCTGGCAACTCAGAAGCTCAACTGTTGTCTTCCTTGTGGCCATTTTCCCCAGCCCCTCATTCTTACCTGGCTTTGAGACCAATGTCTTTCTGTAAACAAGATTTCTGGTCTGACTCTGTGTGGGCTCCACGTCAGTTTCTCAAATATTATTTTGTCCACATAGCCCTCTTGACACTCTCCCCACCCCAAAATATTGTATCTTTTCTATCTTCTTTCTTTTTTTGTCCCTTTCCATCAGTTAAGACTATAAGGTCATATTATTTAGTCTGAGCTTTATTTTATACAGCAAAACCTTAAGCCTTAAGCCATAAATCTGAAGACCTTAAATTTGGCAAACTGTCCTGAGGACCAAATCAACCTACTGCCTATTTCTGTAAATGAAGTTAATTTATTTTATTGTGATAAAATATATATAATACAAAATTTGTCATTTTAATCGTTTCCAAGTATACAATCCAGGGGCATTAGTCACACTCACAATGTTGTTCACTCATCACTATATTTGATTTTAAAAGTTTTTCATCATTCCAAGATTAAATCATCATCATCAACCTTTTATTAGCAGTTACTTCCCACTCCTCCCTCCCCCATTCCCTGGTAACCACTCATCTACTTTCTGTCTCTATGCAATTACCTATTCTAGATAGTTTATGTATGTGGGATCATAAAATATTTGCCATTTTCTGTCTCACTTACTTCCCTTAGCATAATGTTTTCAAGGTTCAGGTTCATCCATGTTATAGCATGTATCAGATCTTCAATTCTGTTTATAGCTGAGACATACTCTGTTGTATGTATGGACTACATTGTGTTTATCCATGTTTGGGTTATTATGGACAATGATACAATGAAGAATGGTGTACAAATATCTCTAGTATCTGGTTGTGTTCTCACTCCCAAGTCCTTTTGGTATATAAGGGTAAGTCAGAAAGTATTGCTACTAGGCTTCCAGTTTATACATTCAGGGGTTTATTCCAAATAAAACTTGTTTAAACCTGTTTCTGGGATCAGCTGATGGCTGCAGACAAGGTCTCTTAATAATACAGTAGTCTTAATATCTTTAGGGGCCTTCCAGAAACAGGTCAAATCAAAGCATTTCTTCTGGAAAACTGGTGGACCAGTTAAATTCAAGGAAGAGAAGTTAATTTAGAAGTTTGGGTGACTGTTTTTGGAATTCCAAAGGCATACTCTTGATACCTGGATTAGTATACTTGATCCATAACTTGTTAACCATGGCTTATGCCTTCATTATATTATTATATTCAAAAGTAACATTTCAATCTATTTTGATACACTAAGCAGGAGCAAGAAGAGGTTTTCTGCTCCTGTAGAGATTTACAGCCTGGGAAACTCTATGTACACCCAGCAACGACAAGCAGAAGATTAAAGAAAATAGACAGAGTGAAAGAAAATTAACAGACTTTATATAAGTATATGTTATTTTTGCTAAGTGCTGGTTCCAAGTCACAGCAACATTATGCACAACAAAATGAAATACTGTGCCATTCTCACTACCTTTGCTACACTTGAGCACATTGCTGCTGTCACTATGCCAATCCATCTTGTTGGGAGTCTTTTTCTATATCGCTGACCCTCACTTTACCTAGCATGCTGTCTTTCTCCAGGGACTGGTCCCTCCTGATAATATGTCTGAAGTATGACAGATGAATTCTCGCCATCCTGGCTTCTAAGGAGCACTCTGGTTGTACTTCTTCCAGTGTAGATTTATTTGTTCTTCTAGCAGTTAAAGATATTTTTAATATTGTTCTCTAACACCATAACTCAAATGCATCAATTCTTCTATGGTCTTTCTTATTCATTGTCCAACTTTCACATGCATATGAAGCTATTGAAAATACCATGGCTTGGGTCATGCACACCTTTGTCCTCTGTCAGGACCTGCCTGACATAGGGGTTCGGTTCACGAGGAGGAGATACCTGATGGCAATTGCAATATATCAAGAATACACAGAAAGAGACAAAAAGAGAGACAATGAGGCACCCCAAAGCCAGGGTGGATACATCACTGGTGGGCAGGCTCGGGAGTACAGGCATCATGGCCTCTGCAGGCAGCAACTCACTGCCCTGCCATCTTTACTGCGTGCCCTCCATCT